AAAATCTCCCTACAGGGGTTGAATTTGTTGGCTTTAAAAATTAATTCAGATTAATTTAATGGCCTTGTGTGGGACGTTAGCCTTCAGTTTCCAGGTCCATACCATTGGTATCTTTCCCTTGCACTGAGCCCCTTAGAAAACCAATGTGATGGGATCCCCAAACAGAGCCTACCTGGGCACCAACACACATTGCCAATTCAAAGGCGTTCCACCAGTCCTAGTTGGAGGAACGTGATAATTTATAAACCAGATAAACTGATCTCAGGCCCCTGTGCTAATGCCCTGGTTTCCTCCTGCAGAATTGCACTGGGAAAATGGAGGAGTTCTTCCTCTTTGGAGCCTTTCTGGAAGCGTCCATGATCGATAGGAAGATTGGGGACAAGCCCATCAACTTTGAGGTCACCATAGGTTGGTCTACTATTCTTTGTTTTGTTTCGTTTTGTTTGTAAGCGATGGAATAGCAGGCTTCCTAATGAAGCCCCCAGCACAGATGCAGCAATAAAGGCCAGTGGAGCTCCTGATCACAGAATGGGTTCATTGGGCCTCAGTCCATGCCAACGCTATAAAGCTGTGTAAGGTGCTGGTCTCACTTTAGCAGCACAACTAAGAATAGGAGCACCAGGCAGTGAGCATAGTAGGCACATCAAGATGCGATGTGTTAATGCACATTAGCCTAATTTAATGTGCATTAAAGACACACTTCTACACATGTGCACCCTTCATGTGCATTAAAAATGATGAATTTAGGCTAATCGCACCTAAATTTGATACTGCAAATACTCATATCAAATTTAGGCACAAATAGTTAAAGCACATTAATGCACATGTAGATGCATTAAAGCACATTAAGTGGAGTGAATTGGAACTAAAGTTAGTCCAACATACAGCTTTAATGCACCTTAACGCCTGCACATATAGACACTTGCCTAACCCCACTTAATGCACATTAAGCTAATGTGCATTAAATTTAGGCACACTTAAATACATGTGTAGACACGCCCAGTGTAAGCGGCTGGAGTCCTGCGTCCAGTTGTGGGCCCCCCACTACAGACAGGATGTGGACACATTAGAGAGAGTCTAGTGGAGGGCAAAGAAAATGGTTGTGGGGCTGGGGGACAGGACTGGTGAGGAGAGGCTGAAGGGACTGGGCTGCTTTAGTCTGGAGAAGAGAAGACCAAGGGGGATTGAATAGCCGCCTTCACCTCCCTGCAGGGGGGCTGCAAAGAGGATGGAGCTGGACTGTTCTCAGTGGGGGCAGACAACATGACAAGGAACAAGGGGCTCAGGCTGCAGCAAGGGAAGTTGAGGAAAAACTGTCTCACTAGGAGGGTGGTGAAACACTGGAATAGGCTCCCCAGAGAGGTGGCGGAGTCTTCATCCTTGGAGGCTTTGAAGACCTGGGTAGACAAAGCCTTGCCTGGGATGATGTGGTTGGGGCTGGTCATGCACTGAGCAGGAGGTGGAACTAGATGTGGCCTCCAGAGGTCCCTTCCAACCC